CACACTTCTCTTGGTACAAACATGTGCGGACAACTAGAAAACGTGTGCGACAATGGTAGCACCACACACATTTTACATTTCTAAAACGTATATGATGTTTGACGTATCACAAATGGCATGGTAGGGTTAAATGTTTGTGATATGCATCTTATAGCACACAAATGACATCACAAATATTGCACCACAGAAGAGGGGGTGTGATAGATATATCACCTCACACGATTTTGACGGATGGAGCATTTGATACATTTGATATATTGCAAATGCTTGCCGCAAGATTCATGTGCGTGATATGTTTAGGCATCGATACAGTTTGTTTTTCCTAAACATTGGGGCTTATCATAGAGGGTTAACCCATATCGTGTGCGACAGGGCCCCATATCACACACCTTTGCAATGTGAGAGTTCAAAACTGTGTCAGCGAAAGATGATTTTAACCGTTTGCGTTGGACTAAACTGCACTGGTGGTTTGGTGCTGCAATCTCTGAATTACCATGGTTGAACCTATTTTCATCGCCATTAATTTGTGGATGAATCGGCTATACTGGCCTCACACAAATAGTCTCTAGTCCCGTCGTTGCCATACACGTAGAAACGAGCATACTTACAATTCTCAAATGCAGAATCTTGCTATTAAATCCCTTGTTGTACACTCTAATGTCAAATTGCGTGCGGTGAATACAACACGCACATTACAAAAAAACCAACCATATGCCCAAAATGAAACTTATGTGTTAATGTGCACACAATTGAAATAAATGTATTGCTTACAATGAAGAGAACCCCCGCACCGATTTCATTTAGGTGTATCATGTGTGAAGTGGAGCACATGGTTCAGTAACACCCATCGTGTGTGATATACACAGTGTCGCACAAGAGTGGGTAAGCATATGCCCATGTACACATGGCACCGTGGTTCCCCCCCCCCCCCAACATGTTAGCCTCCTTGCCTCCCGCCACACATGAGGCGCCGATGGCCACACGTCGTGGCCAACCAGGGTCGATGCCTTCCTTTTCTCGTGCTCCCCCTTGTTCGCCCGCGCGATCATTCTGATGCGCTACCCCCCTCTAATCAGGCTGCCACACAACTGAATCCCTCGGCATTGCCAATCTACACCGCGCCCTCATCATTGACGAGGAATTTCAGCAAGATATGCAAGCCGCCATGGAGCACTCCTTCTAGTCGTACGAGCTATATGAGTATGTTTGCACTGCCGACCATGAATGACATGAGCGCATGGTCATCCGGGCTCTCGTGAGTCCCTAACCAAGGATTCCCATCATCGGGGATGGCCACAGAGTGCCAGTTAGAGCTTCATGTGATGGGGTGAGACGACCTTCCATGCACGCATCCACCAGCGGTCGCGACTGACAGCAGGCGAATATCCCCTCTTTGTTCCAGAGTCATCGCCTCCTATCGAGGCTGAGCCATAAGCAGCATGTCGCCGCGGTGTGAGAGAACATCCTATGCAACATAAAATTATTACTGCGCATGAGCAAGCCCAGGATCACTAGAGGAATAGGTAACCATGATCATACAAACAACCAACACAGAGAAAGTAAAGAAGATTGTCGGTGTAGCACGCCAATTCCCACAACTAGGTTATATACCATGGGGAGTCTGATGCCTCTCGTAGTGCACTCCCCACCTATATACTAGTGGTGGGGCTAGGGGGTAGCCCCACGAGGAGGTGGAGTCCTCCTAGGACTCCCCTCTAGGGTTTGCTTGCCTCCCAAGGCATGGGGGTTGGGCTTGGCTGCATTAGGCCCCTATGGTCTACCTTGACCCTCAAGAAAGTGTGAGGTTGGCCAAGTGGGACCCAACAAAATGCTCTAGAATCTTATGGACCTTCCCCAAGCTTCTGTTATGTTCTAGAACATTCAAGCTTCCAAAACTGGTCTGGATATCACCTGAATACTCCGAGATCTCCTGAAACATTTTGTTAGACCTTTAGAAACACTTTCAGAACCCTTCGCTCCCATTCTCCATTATCTCACATATTTCCTAAATGTCACTAGTCATTAAGCATCTGACCATATAGGTTCTAGAATACGTGTACATGTTTGGAACACCTACCAGTCAATAATTACTAGCGGGAACTGGACACACATAATACTTCCCACCTAACATTAAAGATCTTTATCAAGCGAACCATGTGTTACGACATATAATTCCCTTTGACTCGCAATACATTACACAATATTAGGTGAGATTTTGATGGTGTCCCCATGATCAACTCCTTGATCATCACACCTAGTTATCATCGTTACCGGTTTGTACTCTCTTCTCGTTACCGTATTCCGGTTCCCTATGACGAACTCCTTAGTCACAATATCTGACAGACGATGATGGACAACGTAATACCGAGTGGACATGGAGTGTATCTTTGCATAGTAGGAGGAGAAAATCCTAGTCTTGACATATCTAGCACCACATCATACTTTCTCGTATACAAAACTCACCTTTATAATCACTTAATTATTGAGTAACATTTGGCAA